AGACGCCAGGGGACAGAGAAACAAAGAGAACTTTGATCTCAGAGTGCGAGTACAGGACTTACAATCTGGAGACACAGAGTCTTACTGAGAAATCTGGGTATCCCTGGAAAACACAAGTTGGCAGATAGGTGGCGATCAGAGCCCTATGTCATCTGCAAACAATTGCCTGGATTGCCAGTTTACCAGATTCGACCGGAAAAGGGTGTTGGCCCACTCAAAACCTGGCACCGCAACCACCTTTTGCCTTTGTCAGATGCAGTCCGTCTACCATCACAATCTGATCCACAGTCTACCCCCTCAACTTCTCAGAGGACTAGACCTGTGACCAGGTCACAACCCACACCAACTCCTTCAGATGAAGAGGACAGTGAGAGTGAGGAGGTAGGGACAGATTTGCTGTGGCCATCTGACATTTCCGAACCCAGCATTCCTTCTTCCACTGGAGTGACTGACGTAGTTCCTCTTAGGCCAGAGGCTCCTGAATTTGTGCCTCAGGCCCAACCTGCAGAAGACTTGCAAGAACCTGAAGACTGGTGGTCCATTGTTGATGAGGGAGAAAGATGATGAGGGAGCTGAACTGGGAGAGACAGAGAGCGTGTCGAGCAAGAAGCGTGGGTTGATGAGTCAGTAGTGTCAGAACCAACATCGGAAGCAACGCCAGAACCATTGCTAGAGCCCAGAGAACAGAGAGAGAACGTAGAGTTATTCAACCCCCAAAGAGACTGACATATGATGTGTTGGGTGAAAACTCTGAGGAAGTAGTACATGCTTCTCAAAGGAATCTCGTGACGCCTGGTTCTCCTGCAGCAGTTTCGGTAGAGAACAGCCCCAACTCACCCCCTGGCACATCTGGTTGGGCCATTCCCATTAGTGTGGCCTATGGGCAGGATAACCCTCACTCTGCTACATGGTGGGAGGTTCCTCTGCCAGATTCTTATGCAAGTGTGAATAATTTAATTTCCTGTGTGTACTAACTTTGCTTTTTCTCCGCGTGTATATAAAAAAGCATGTAACAGGTTTGCTTTTATTGCTGTCTTTGGAGGACCAAAGCTTCTCTGGTGGGGGGAGTGTGTGGTAGCAGGCTCCTTGTACAAGAGGATTCAGAAGGAATCGCATGTTCAGCAGAAAATATTCTGTGGAGCCACATTTTACCTGTTTGAATGACAGAGACATTGCTATGAAAAGTCCATATCTGTGCAGCTTTCATATGATTGTGCCACTTTCATTGTTCTGCAGTGTATGCATATTTTTTGCAGTCCTAAACTTTTTTATGCATTTGTAGCAGGCTCCTTGTACAAGAGGATTCAGAAGGAATCGCATGTTCAGCAGTCAGTCTTTTCTCTCTCTCTCCTCCTATTTGTAAAACCTGGGCATTCTGCCAAGTTTTGATGACTCATCCACTACACAGCAAAGAACGCTGGGAGGGGGAGGAAGTGAAGGGGGAGAACAGAGAGACACGAGGCTGGAGAAAAGACAAGGACATGTGGAGCCGCCCGTCCAAGCAGAGGAGGAGGCACTACAGCACCCAGCGTGGATAGAGGGACCCTGCTGTGTGTTCAGAGTCTGGTGAGCTGTCCCACTGGAGAGAGTAAAGACACACCATTTACACTTTGCATATAGACTGGGACATCCGCACCCCACTGCTGGGATCTCACCCATCTGGGGCCCTGTGCAAGCCACAGATCCCCCTGCCTGCTTTGCCCCTCACTCACCACCAGTGTAATTGAGACTGTCTGCCCCGGGGACTGACACATACTGGGAGATTGCATCCTGCGACTGCCCCTGGTCTTGGGGTGCTTTATGTTGCTCTAGACACTGAGATTGGATTCTCTCAGCCCAGAAACCTAGTGAAATCTGATGTAACCCACACCAGCTGAAACTCCAAAGAAGCCTTCAGCTGCTATTTACTTCATTGTAAGGACTAAACGTGCACCAACTAGAGCTCCACCGTTACAAGGACTGAAGTGGGGGAATCTGGCTTAGTAGCTTTATTAGAGGTACCTCTTTATTGCATTCTGTTCTGACTCTGAGGTGATTTTTGGCTAACGCCCCTCAGAAGCAGAATCATACACCGGTGTGGGTAATACGTTTCATTGATAGAGTATAAGTAAGTTTATTTGATTGATATCAGTTGAATTCTGCTTAAAGTGCGACTCTGCCATCCGGAGACTCTTGGCTGTGAAGCCCTCTAGTGGCAGACCAAATTTACTGCATTGCATAAAAGAAGAAAAGTAATTTTTGAAGTTGAAAGGGGAACCCCACCCCTCTACACTGCATTTCATTCTCCATAAAATTGTTCTTGTTTCATTTAACCCTGTGTCAGAAAATTTCTTGGCGGGGTATTTGCTATTCATTACCAGTTGTGCCAGAGGGATTGAGTTTGCTTAGGGTTGGATCTATTGAGCGCAGGACCCATAATATATTCCAGCTTGTCCCAAGGGGCAGTGTTACACATTATTGCCTCTAACTTGGCACAGTACATTGCAAGTTACAACTACGGCCTTTCTGATCATTTGTGCAATTACCCACCTACTTTAGACACTTCCGGTTGTAGGGTAACAAATGCTTTGTTCCTGCTTTCTTGCACCTTGTCACACAGGTTTCCGAGAATAAAAGAGGCTGTTTAAAACACACATTATGCAGGCATGGAGAACTGTTGTCTCCATCAGCTGCCATGACAAATGCCATGCAATCATTGCTGGGGTTGTTGTGGACATGAAGTGGCTGCAGAAAGGCTTCAGGAGACCAGCAGTTGTGGACATGAAGTGGCTGCAGAAAGGCTTCAGGAGACCAGCAGTCCTGACATGGTAAAAAAATGGAAAACAGTAAAAACAAGTATTTTGTTACAAAAAAAGGCAATTGATTATGGTTCACAGTGCTTTATCAAATAAAATGTCATTAGAATATAAATCTGTTTTTTAAGAGATGCTATCACCTTGCCTATGCAAGGCTGCATATTATTCCTTGTACAGTCTCACTTCAGTGAAACATTAAAAAATAAAGCCACATCCCCATTTTAGTGCTACCTATATAGTCTGTTTCCATTTTCCACGTACCTGTCACAAATTTTCCACAAACCTGTCACAATTTTTTTTTTATTACGTATTGTCACCAGTCCAGTCCAGTGTTATCATATAATTGGTGTGGCGGTGACAGTATGTAAAAAAAAAAATTAAAATAATAATTTGTCTTTCTTTTTCTTTTTTGTTTTCTGTACTACATTTTTATTACATTTTTTCCATTTTTTTACAATTTTTTTCAGCACACTGTGACCAGAGCAATACAGTGTTACTATAGTAACATTGTACTACTCTGGGGAAGTGATAAGGATTTTTTTACACATTATGGTTGCTCATACCAATGCGTTTCACTGATATTAGCAACCATTTGTACTGAATGAAACTAATTCATTCATTGTCTTTTGTTGTGATTAGCTGTGATTGGCCACAGCTCATCACATGGTACAGATGGGCTGTGATTGCTGGTATCAACACAATTGTATACAATGGATGGCATGAAAGGAAGCCACCCAATGTTTACAATTTTCATGTGATTTGCTGTGATTTGCCACAGCAATCACATGACACTGGCAGCTTGCCGGTTTAGTGATCAGTCATTGGCTGTGTCCGGGGAACACAGCCTGTGACAGATTGCACCACTGATGCTGACAGATTGCGCCCGAGCCCCGTGGTCGTGGGTGTGGCGCTTTTTGAAAGGACGTCATATGGTGTCCACTCAGAAGGAGGAGCGTCCTGTCTGGCCTACAGTAGATTGACGGTCGGGTGGGATGCTCCTCCTTTTGGTGTTAAAATCAATAAAAATATTGAACAAGAAAAAATAAAGCTACTATTAGAGGTTGATTAACTAAAGGCAAATAGGCTGCTCACTTATCAAGGGAATTTGAATGTGGTGAAGAATACCCAATCACATGCAAGGAAAAAAAATAGTGCATGCACATGAATGGATAATGGCAGTCAGCAGGGCAACTCATTCACTAAGCTAATGGAAAATTCCCTCGCAGGGGGCAACTTCACTTGAAAAGTGAACAGTCTCTTTGCCTTTAGCAAATCAACCTTCTAGTTCCTTAAAGGATATGTAAACCCTCACCTTGTAAAACAACCTATTCAGTTTGAAATATAAATGAAAGGTAAAACATTTTTGTATAGATGTAAAAAAAAGTTATAAATACCTTTTTATTCCTTTTTTCCTTCTGTTCGCAGCTGAGGAGAAACAGTAGCACGTTGGTCTTCCCAGTGAATGGCTGTGCGGGGGGGGGGCATATCAGCAAATGTCTGTTCATTGGTGGAGAGCACACTGAGTTCCCATCTCAGCCAGAAAACTGACCACAATGTGCAATCATGGCTAGTGTAGTCAGTTTTTAATTGGAAAGCGGAGGGACTGGCAAGAACACCAGGGATTTCACACAAAGGAAGAAATACACAGCGAACAGGATACTCTCATTCAAGTACATGGTACAGCAGGCATATATCAGGAATATGAAATTTTGGGTTTACATATTCTTTAATGTATTTTTGGGACATCCCTAAAACATTGAAAGATGTTGGCATGTATGTGTTATGTGCAGTGATGTTAATATCAACATACATGTAAATAATGGGAATTTTGACATGAAAAGATGAAACATAGGTATAATCCTCAGTTTTGTTCTTGTATATGTTTCAAGAAAAACACTGAAATGCTTGAACAGGACTGTACATGAATTGAGTGTGTGTGCCCTCCTGAAGAGTTGGCCTTTAGCCAGATCCCTCCAAACCACAGACGAAGCTCCTAAAATCGCAAATATCCTATGGCAAATCCCCACCTCTCGCTGTACACAGAGTCATATTTTCTTTCCTCCTGAGATTGCTGTGGGGGGTTTTCACAGAATGATGGGCTATGGGTTAAAGTGCACGGTTTGATGTTATGCAAGTTTGTTGAAGTGGGCCACTATCCAGTTGGGACTGGATATATTGGCAGCTTAAATATAGGTCTTTTACCTTCCTGCTGGAGTTACGAAACTGTGTGACTGCAGAGCTGTATATAAGGCTCCCAGGCACAGCATTTCTGGGTTTCTTACATCTGGGAGCAGCTGGATTTTCCGTAAGACGATCGTCCTTTCTATTAACTTCTCTCTGGAACTACTTCAGCTAGCTGAACTGGCTTGTTCCACGATCATTAACATCTGACGTTTGGATTTTATATTAGAAATTATTATCTAAATTAGAATAAATATCTAAAGGCAGGATAGCAAAAATGTATTCGTTTTCCAATATAACGAAGCCTGTTTATTGCTATTATTATTAATAAGGATGAAATGTTTTATCCTTGCTTTATTACTAGGTTATGTAACATATAAATAATGTTCATTTTTGTTACAATTATTACTAATGATAATCGTGATTATGTTACTGCTTTGGCTATTATTCTTAGTGGTAATATTTTTTAAATAATTTTTGAAAATGTTATTATTCTTAGTGGTAATATTTTTTAAATAATTTTTGAAAATGTAAGATATGGATAAAACCATTGATTGGTATTGTTTCATAGTATTTTATTGTACTTGCTGATATTTATGTTTTTAGTATTAGTAGTGGTAATGTTGTATATGTGGAACCTTTGTGTACAGGATGTTTGTAAATACTTCTAGACTTACTAAATATGAGCAAATCATGATGACGGTGCAAGTGTAGTAACCCATAGCAACTAACTCGACTTTATCTGCTAGCAAAATTTATTGTTCTAAATGGTGATCTAATTTGTTGCTATGGGTTATTGTACTTTCCACATCAAGACTGTATTTTACATTCCAGACTTTTTATAAAACGCCCAGTTTATATTTCTTTTCTATTACTTATATTTTATTGCTACTATTATATATATATATTTTTAATGTATATATATATATATTATTTTTTATGTTAATAATACAGTTATAGGATTTGATAAACTATTTGCTTTATATTTTTCGATGTATTTGACAGTTTTTCTAGAGCTGGTTGTGCACTGAAAGATGGACCTCAGAAATCTTTGGGCTTTTTATTGCCCTGTTCTGCATCTCTTCGGCAGAGAGAGACTGTCGTGTGAGCACCTTCAAAACCGTGGAAAATTTTGACAAACAACGGGTATGCTATCTTGTTTTAAATATATTAAAATAAAAAAGAATATTATTTTATGTTTTTTTAAGCATTTTTATCTCTACAACATTACAAATGGCCTGTGAGATAGGTACCTAACTAATTTATTTTTATATTTTCTATCAATAGTTGTTCGTTAGTTGCTGGTGTAACTGAGCTTTTGAAGTTAGCAAATTGTTCACAGACAGATAAAGCAGTGCCTCAAGCAGTTGAAATTTGAACTATATCTGCATGGATTTACATATTTACTACCTTGTTTACAAAAGTCCCGAGGCTCTCAAATTTTTTATCCGCCTAATTTAAAGCAGAACTGCGGTCAAAAATGTATTTTCACTATGCAGTGAAGCTGTGTCCCCACTGATCAAGATCAGCTGCTCTTTTTTCTAGGGGTGAGCACAAAATGTATACTCACCTGGCCCGCCAATCCTCCGGAAAACTGCGCTCCCCCACGGTTCAACAGTGGACTGTTCCTGTCTGTGGAGCATGCTTTAAGTATGCTGACGTCAGAAACAGTCCATTTACAAGACCACTAGACTGCGCGGGGGGACAGGAGCTGACGCAACTGGTCTTGTGCTGGGAGGATCAGCGGGTCAGGGGAGTATATCTCTGCTGTTCTCTCCCCTACAGCATAACAATCAGTTAACCCATGCAGTGTGGGAACAGCGCCACTGTACAGGAAAAAGAAAAATTTGCCCAGAATTCTCCTTTAATTATGATGCTGTAAGTACATAAAGATACCTATGGTTTCTGCCTGAAATCCAGAGAGCTTCTAACAACCTGTAAAGGGATAACAATGTTGTCTCTGTTGCATTCAAGCTCGTTTGTACTACTGGGAACGCTCTCTGTTATAGAGATGAGAAAGGGGAAGGTGCTCTGTAGTCCAGCAGGGAGGTGTTGGGTAAGGCTTTCAACACTGCCAGTGATTTTAGTGCAGCAGAGGCAGCGCTGTGAGCTCACTGGAGCAATTTAGGAGATCAGCAGTTATCTTTCTGTTCATTCAGTGTTTTTAAGGGTCAAAATTCAGACAAATGTACACATGTATTGCAAAGATGATTTTCCAAGGCATACACTTTAATACAGAGGGAAAACAATAAAGCTCAGTTTATAGAGCATCCTAGCAAAGCCTGTGGATAATGAACTTCCAGGAGAGAGGGAGGAGGCATTTCCATCCTATTAGTCGTCTAGCAGCTTGTGTAATCTGATCTCCCCTAAAATGATTGCTCCTCAAATTCCATTTAAATTTGAGAGCTTGCCACCTACTGCCTCTAAGTGGTAGTTGTAATAAATTCATATGCAGTATTTCATTTCAGCCTGAGTAAATAGAAAAACAAAAAGAAGGAGCAGAATACGGACATATTGGTAATTTCATGTTTTATTAACCACTTACCCTCCAGAGGATTTACCCCCCTTCCTGACCAGGCCTTTTTTTTTTTTTTTGCGATACAGAGCTGCGCTATTTTAACTTACAAATGCGCAGTCATGCAATGCTGCACCCAAATTTACGTCCTTTTTCTCCCAAAAATGGAGCTTTCTTTCTATGGTATTTGATTGCCTCTGTGGTTTTTATTTTTTGCGCTATAAACAAAAAAAAACAACAATTTTGAAAAAAACCTATAGTTTTGACTTTTTGCTATTAAATATGTCCAGTAAAAAAATTTAAAAATCAAATTTAATAATAAATTTAGGCCAAAATGTATTCTGCTACATGTCTTTGCTAAAAAAAATCCCAATACAATCCCAATACAGGTAAATTAATTGGTTAACGTGAAAGTTATAGCGTTTACAAATGGCGGTATATATACTGGAATTTTTTTTTACTAGTAATGGCGGCGATCAGTGACTTATAGCGGGACTGCGGCGGGCATTCTGACACGAAGGGGAGCTGACTTGTTGTCACTGCTATGACATGTGTGTTTCACAGAAAGCACACTGCTTTGTATGACTCTGCTATGCAGAGCCATACAAAGCAGTGTGGAGGAGCTGACAGGGGAGAGATCTGTATAGTTTACAAACAGGTTTCCCCCTGTTTGTAATTGCAGGGTGCCAGCGGGGAATTACCTGCTGTGACCCAGTGATTGACAGCTGAGGCCCCCGAATGGCGAAACCTGGAACTGCAAAATCACATATATACATGTGATTTTGCGCACCCGTGCCGCCCTGTAGCAGTTTTTCTGCTATAGGGCGCCACAAAAGCTGTTAATTAACTAAGAACACATCAATAAAAAGATACATTCTAGTTGGTTGTGGTGGATTACTACACTTTTTAGGAATAATTAGGCATCAACTTAGATATAACCTATTTGAGATAATATCCAAAGCCACTTTCATGACGATTAATTCTGCTGTTCCAGTGATTAACAATATTTCCAGGCCAGGCCCTTGTTTTTGGATTCACCATGTATCAGCACTTTTGTATGTACCATTTTTTGTAATATTTTTATTGCACTATTTCTTGAAATAACGTCTATTCTAGAGCTTTATTGCATCCTGTATTCATGTAACTGTATTTTTCCAGTATACTGGAACCTGGTATGCAGCAGCCAAGAAGGACCCAAAAGGACTTTTCCTTTATGATAACATTGTGGCCACCTTCAGTGTTGATGAGGACGGAAAAATGACAGCCACAGCCAGAGGAAGAGTCTTTTTAATGGGGTAAGATATCTGTCCCCTCTTATAATGCTGCCACTTTAACCAACATTATACTGTCCAATATTCCTAATTTTGTAGGTTTGATTTTATGTGGAAATGTTGATGGGTGGGGCTTGGTGAAAGGGGTGTGGTCTTGACCAAATAAGGTCAAATTTCAGAATGGGATACACGTTAAATTAGAACACCAGGCAAAACACACAAATATGTTTTAATATGCAATTTTAAAGTCATTTACCTGCATCTACCTTTTGTGTTGGGTTACTATGTAACCCTGTTGCTGCCAGATCATTTTTTACGCACATACTAAATTTATTTTGTTTATTTTTATTATTTATTTCAGGTACTTATATAGCGCCGTCAATTTACGCAGCACTTTACATATATATTGTACATTCACATCAGTCCCTAACCCTCAAGGGGCGTACAATCTAAGGTCCCTAACTTACATTCATACATACACATACTAGGGCCAATTTAGACAGGATTCAATTAACCTACCAGCATGTCTTTGGAGTATGGGAGGAAACCAGAGTACTCGGAGGAAACCCACGCAGGCACAGGGAGAACATGCAAACTCCAGGCAGGTGGTGCTGTGGCTGGGATTTGAACTAACGACCCTAGTACTGCCAGGCGGAAGTGCTAACCATTTAGCCTCTGTGCTGCCCCAAATTACTAAATTATGTATACCTGATACCTAAAGTATATGTAAACCCTCCATTGTAAAACAACCCATACAGTTTAAAATAGTAATGAAAGGCAAAACGTTTGTGTATAGATATAAAAAAACATTATCAATACCTTTTTTTCCCCTTTTATAATAAAGCAGCAAAACGCAGCTAAACGCTAATGCAAAAACGCTGAAAAACTCACATTTTTAACGTGACTTTACACAGCTAACGTTACCAGCATTATTAAAACGCCCCGCGTGCATGGAGCCTAAGAGAGGTAGGGGAGGAGAAACTGGTCCTCCCAGTGAGTGGCTGTGCATTTGGGGGGTGTCAGGACAAGTCTGATCATTGGAGGAGAGCATGCTGAGTTTTACCTGTAAATGTAAAAATATAGTAGTTGAACATTTCTATGTTTCATGCTATTTGCAAAACTGACACAGCAGGAAGAGGACTTGACAATTGTGGGAGAATAACAGTTGAGAAGGACCCAGGAGCAGTGGTGTTTTTAGGTTCCGTGCTGCCCTAAGGCAACACAAAAATCGCCCCCCCCCCCCCCCCCACAGAGACCCTGACACCGCCCAACCTCCCCACCACCCCCACAAAGAGACCCTGTCACCGACCAACACCCCCCCCCTCTCCCACGGGGAGACCCTGAGACCGACCAACACCCCCTCTCCCCCAAGAGGAGAGCCTGACATTGATCAACAACACCCCAGCCCCCACCCGAGAGAGCCTTCCACTACCACCCCCCCATACACTGGCAACCCCCCCACACTGGCGAGAGAAAAGACGCTCATCTTCACAGCTCCTGACATCGCCGGGAACAAGTGTCAGGCTCGGTATACACCATCAAGCAGCCCTCAGCCTCTCTCAGATCCCACCTGGTCCCCACGCTACGTGTGTCCCTTCTTCCATCCCTTCTTTCAGGGGGCGGCGCTGCCCCCCTCAAAAATGCAGCTTCCCCCCCTGAAAAAAATGCCGCCCTAGGCAAATCCCTTGTTTGCCTTGTGGTAACTATGCCCCTGCCCAGGAGTACAGCAGAGAAGAAACAGCACAAAGAGCCAGTCATTTGTGCTGCAGTGTCTATATGCTAAGTTGATGATGATGATGATGTTCGTCCATCGTCTACTGCTTCTACTTCACTGTTCAAAAGTTGAAGGGGGAGAAGTGTTATTTAACTGCAAGAAAAATCAGATCTCCAACCTTACCAGATAGGGCTGTACTATGTGGCAAGGTTGTGTAAATCTTAGGAGTGGATGAACAGAATACAAATCTTTTCGCAGGTAAAGCCGCACCCGCATACCATATGTATTTCACGGGTGTATTTATTTGGTTGACTGGATTTCAGGTTTAATGATGTAACTTTAGATATACTTGTGCTTTGTTTGTAGCACTATTGAAGTATGCGCTGATATGGTGGGACTGTTCCAGGACACAGATGAGCCTGGCAAATTCACTATGAAGTACTTTGGAGCTGCAGCTTTTCTTGAAAAAGGAGGTAAGCAAAACAGTGGAACAATTGTTGTAGTCTGGGTGCAGAAAAACAACTCATTATTTCCGGACCCAGGGGAAAAAATGTCCATTAAGTGCATGTTGTGCTACTTTTACTGTAGAATGCATGTGAAGAAGCTTAACAAAATCTGCCTCTGTATGCCAGACGAATGCTGGTCCTAATTAGCTCCACTTTCATAACATACAAACTACCAGTATTTTATTTTGAATTTGGTGCAGATGTTGTGCCACAATGTTGAAGTGGAGCATCTTAGAACTACCTGAGATTGGTGTGTGAGTCGCTGGCAGAACCAAAACTGTTGCAGATGTTTTTGAATTAGGTACAATACGTTAACAAGAGCAATTAACGCCATAAAATTTACAGCAGCTTTATTGAATCCCCCTAGTATGCCATATGTAGTAGGCAAGAGGTAAAACATTCAGTGCCAATATACTAACTTTAGAATTCAGTGATCTATCATTAAAGCGGAGTTCTACTTACCTGTCAAAAAATGAAAGTCAGCGGCTACAAAAACTGTAGCTGCTGACTTTTAAAAAACAGCCACTTACCTGTCCCTCGGTCCCGTGGTGTGTCTCCCGCAGGCCGTTTCACCGGCCATCCTGTATTCCAGGTCATCATCTTCAGTGTGGGGACCCGGCTGTGATAGCTTGCGGCTTCACAGCTGGGCACCCATTGCGCATGCGAGAGTAGCACTGTGCTTCATGAATGGTCCTGTGGTCTTCTGGGACCTGTCACGTGTCCCAAAAGACTACAGGAAGGGAGGGAGGACACCTTCCATTTCCGATCGCCCGGAAATGGGAGCGGGTACCTGTCAAATTCTAGTACCCGCCCCCCAAAGGTGCCAATCCTTAATGGGGAGCAGTCTTTAAAGCGGAACTTCCCCTTATGGGTGGAGTTCCACTTTAAGCCTGGGTTCACACTAATGCGGTGTGGAATTCGAAGCAGTTTCTGTGCGAATTACACACCGCATCACAATCGCACCTATGTTAACCTATGTTAACAACACCCCGAAATTGGTCCGCAAAATGCGGTGCGATGTGCAGAATCAGATCGCATCGGTGTGAATACCCTTGCGATCCGATTCTAGTGTGGACCAAATAAAGGGTCCTGCACCTTTTTGGTGCGGGTGCATTGCGATTTGAGCAATATAAAATGTATGGCTCAAATCTCACCGCAAAGAATTTGCATGTGATTTGCACAGGAATGAGGTGCCATTCCTGTGCGAATCACATGTGATATTCCGCACCGCACAAGTGTGAACCCGGGCTCAGGGACCCAAAACTCATCTCCCTTTTGTTCTAGGACCCCAAAGCCCAGGGACATATTTGTGATGGAAACCCATAGTAAAATCTTTGTTGGGCACACTCATTTTACTTTCTGACATTCTATAATAATAACTAATGTTGCATTATAAAACTACATCCAATGCATTTCAATCGAGGTGTCTATACAGTATTTATGTGTATTTTATTCCAAGTGGTTTGCTAAATGCATATGCTACCTGGGCAGGGCTTTTTTTCTCAAAAAATAGGTACAGGAAATCCACCTTTCTTAGTCACCTCTTGTCTCCGCCCCCTACCCACCTCTGAGCTCCGTCACTTGGTTCCACCCCCTACCCACCTCCCAGTACCTCTCCTTTTAGACAATACAGAGCCAAATATAATTTTGTGGTGCTAAATCATTTGTATGAAGTTTGTTAATGGTAACAAGAAAAGAAGAAAAATAGATAACCCCAGCAACAATAGATTCCTCCAGCAACAATGGGCCCCCAAAACAAAATACCACCCCCAGCAACAATAGACCCCTAGCAGCTGCAACAGATCTCCCAACATCCAGCATCAATAGACTCTCCAGTAGCCAGCAACAGTAAACAATAGACCCCTCCCTCAACAGTAAATCCCTTCCAGCAAAAATTGACCCCCACAACAATAAATCCCCCACTAGCAACAATAGACCACCACACAAAAATAGATCCCATTCAGTGACAATAAATCCCCCAGCAATATAACAGATCCTCCAGCACACCCCAGCACCCCTTGCCATTACATATATTCAGTGCTGGAGGTGCCGGAACTGCACTCCCCTGCATTTCCGCTGAAAAAAAGCCCTGTACCTGAGTAATTATTATGCCAGACACACTGGGGGCGGTTTCAGTAAAGTTGCTGTGCCACTTTTCTGGTGTTAATCCCTCTTGTTAATGTGTTGCACCAAACTCATGAGGTATCTGTGATACTTTTGGTTATGACAGCAACTTGTGGGCCAAATTAAGGTAGTTCTGCAATGGGCCACTTTTACATCGTGGCGCAATGTCTGTACCAAATTCATAATAAAATACTGACAGTTCATATCTTATGAGAGACCCTGGCGCACACAGAATGTGCAAAAATGTCTTACATGTAGTTACATAGTTAGTCTGGACAAACGTCCATCCAGTTCAACCATTAAAAAAAGAAGTTATAATCCTATACCCACAGTTGATCCAGAGGAAGGCAAAAAAACCAGCAAAGCATGAGCCAATTTGCTCCTGCAGGGGAAAAATTCCTTCCTGATCCCCCAAGAGGCAATCAGATATTCCCTGGATCAACTCTACCTATAAATGTTATATCCAGTTATATTCTGTTTATCTAAGAACAAATCCAGGCAAAGCAATCCACTGAGCTGGCCAGAACCAACTCTTGAGGGATTCTATTCCACATTTTCACAGCTCTTACTCTCACCGTCTTGCTGGCATTCTAAAAGTGGTGTAGCGTGTGCCAAAATCAGGTGCGAGGTCTAGATAGGTACATGAATTTGGCACACACTGCGTCACTTTTAGAACACATTTGAGACACTTTTGCAAAATTTGTCTGTGCCAGTCTTTATGAATTCCAGGGACTTATTACTGGGCATTATACATATAGTTACATTCTTGCCAAAGCTTCCACAGCTTCCAAAGTTTTCAAAAACTTTGCCTTGCCAGACAAAACTTTGCTTTTGTCTGCACTAATAGTCTTGACATGTCACAATATACAGAAACTCTATACACTTTCAAAAACTCTGTACCTTTTATCATTACAAGGCATCCTGTGGGCTCTGGTCCTGTGGTTTTGCCAAGGCTGAGATGACATCATCAATATGTTGCAGGCAGGGGGAAGCATTTCCTTAAGCCCCGTTCACACCTAAGTGTACTGGAATCACAAGCAGAATTGTGCGATTCTGCCCACAATTCCAGAACTGTGGCAAAATGTGCAACATGCTTGCTGTGCCAGTTATTTCATAATAGTACCCCAAACGTGACGCAATTTTGTCATGTGGCAAAACCATGGCAAGACATGCAGCGCCAAATGCATCTGGCTCAGTGCCAAAATTTGGTTCTATCACGCATTTTTGGAGCAGAGGGACGCTCATTCAAAATGAATGGTGCTGCTCCAAAAACACATCACAAAAACATGCATAACAACACATGAAAAACACAATGCGGCAGCATCATTCAGGTGTGAACAGGGCCTTATTCTCCTGTGTCCCAGTGATCAGACTGCAGCATTGCAATTATACAGCAGGTCAGAAGGTGAGAGGCAGCAGTGGGAGGCTAATCTGTGTCAGACATTTGTGAATACTCTAAACCCTGAGCAGGCAGCAGAATTTACATGATTGTGTTAACATTGCGTGTAAAATGAACCGTACATCAAATTTGTTTTGTGTGCAGTTGATCAACATTGGGTGATAGCCACAGATTACGATAACTATGCCATCGTCTACTCATGTCGCGAGATGGGTGACAACGGAGAGTGTTTGGATGATTACTCCTTTATCTTCTCTCGAAATCAAAACGGACTTACTCCAGAAGCACAGAGAATTGTCCGAAGAAAGCAGTCTGAATTGTGCTTGGACAGAAAATACAGAATTGTCCCCCATAATGGTAAGAATAATTTAACCACCAACATTTACAAAAAAAATGGTCTTTAAATCAGGTAATATAAAATCTTCATGGAAATATTTTGTATTTATAATTTGTAGCCATATGATTGAGCTCCATGCTTCATTTATTTATTGTCCAGGCTAATCCTAACTGTTTTGCTGAGAAAAAGAAACACTTCTTGGCCTTTTAGATAAGATAAAGTATAGTATATGTTGTTATCAGAGACTCTTTATTCTCTCTGTCTATGAAGGGTATGGAAAGGAGTAATATGTGGTAAGAGGGGTGCACTGTGGATATCCTTTACTCCTGAGTTGAATCTCACCTGGCGCAATAGGCCAGAACTCTTGTAGCCCAGCACCTCCTGCACAGGATAGGTCTACCTGGTCTTGTCAGGGGCTGTGGGAGAAAAGAGCCTGTGGTGATTGTGCCCCTGGGGTGGCAGCCCAAATTCACATTGACGGTGAGAAGCTCACTGCGTTCTTAGTATGGCACTATGGCCATGGTATATTCACACTCTGGGAGATAAGCTCACTGTGTCCTTAATATGGTACTATGACACATTCACTCTGAAGGTGAGAAGCTCACTCTGCTTTTGGTATAGCACTTTGGTCATGGCACATTCACACTGAGGGTGAGGAGCTCACTTCACTTTTAGTATGGCACTATGGTCATGGCACATTCACACTGAGGGTGAGAAGCTCAGTTCACTTTTAGTATGACCCTATGACCATGGCACATTCACACTGAGGGTGAGAAGCTCACTTCACTTTTAGCATGGCCCTATGTTCATGACACATTCACTCTGAGGGTGAGAAGCTCACTTCACTTTTAGTATGGCACTATGGTCAAGGCGCATTCACACTGAGGGTGAGAAGCTCAGTTCACTTTTAGTAGGACCCTATGGTCATGGCACATTCACACTGAAGGTGAGAAGCTCAGTTCACTTTTAGTATGACCCTATGGCCATGGCACATTCACACTGAAGGTGAGAAGCTCAGTTCACTTTTAGTATGGCCATATGGTCATGGCACATTCACACTGAGGGTGAGAAGCTCAGTTCACTTTTAGTAGGACCCTATGGTCATGGCACATTCACACTGAAGGTGAGAAGCTCACTTAACTTTTAGTATGGCCCTATGGTCATGGCACATTCACACTGAGGGTGAGAAGCTCAGTTCACTTTAAGTATGACCCTATGGTCATGGCACATTCACACTGTGGGTGAGAAGCTCAGTTCACTTTAAGTATGACCCTATGGTCATGGCACATTCACACTGTGGGTGAGAAGCTCACTTCACTTATAGTATGGCACTATGGTCATGGCACATTCACTCTGAGGGTGAGAAGCTCACTTCACTTTTAGTATGGCACTATGGTCATGACACATTCACTCTGAGGGTGAGAAGCTCACTGTGTTTTTAGTATGGCTCTTGTTCTTTTGTGATGTGATCTTTCTGCAAAATCCGTTTGATATGTAGGAGAACTGCCCTATCCATTTATCTGTACCTGGCTCTGAGAAGACAGAGAAGCTACTTTGTTTTCTTTGCAGCATTAGGGCTCCTTCACACAAACAGCTAGGGGACAGTAAAATCAGAACTAACATTACAGATGGATGGAGCTGTACACATGCCACAGCAAATTCAACAAGGCCTGCATGTTTGACATGTGGCACTGTCTGGTAAACTCATCCATTGAAGTGAATGGCTTATGGTTGTGGTGCAGAACTTTAATACAAAATCCCTCAGATTTAAAAGAAAAACAACAAGATCAGCAAGACTACCTCCTGAATGCCTGGCAGCCACTGTTCTGCCCACTTCTAAAAGGTGACCCACCATACATCCTTTTTCAGGAGGCAGTAGACACTGCCGCCAGTGTGTAAGAGCCCTTTCAAACATTCACTAAAAATTAGGGCCAGTTGTAAGTAGCCATCTACCAAACACATAAGGGACCTACCTATATTCTGTGGTTGACCTGCCTATCTTGTCTAATTACAGGTATCTGCAATGACAGCTGGTGATTTGCCATCTACAAGAAGAAAGTCACTAAAACATCTTATTTTATATCAATGAAAGTTTAATAGACCTTGGATCTGAGGCACCCAATGGATGAATTATAGCACCAATGTACATATTTTATAGAAAGTTTAATTGTATGATGTTCATAGCACTTCAGAAAGCAATTTGTGGGCACCTTTCATTATGTCTGTGATTTAGGTTTCCAGGAATGGAGCAATAAATATACACATACATACTAATGCCACATGATTGATTGATTCCTTTATTCCGGTAGATTATTCATGTATGCACTTTAAAATGATATTTGATATGACTGAATAGGAACTGTTTTCTAGTACAGTAGTGGGGCATTATATAAAATTTCACCAACAGCTCAAAGATTTTCAACCAACAGCTAGTAATTACTGTAAATCCTATTAAGCACACACAGTGAAGGAAATGATCAGTCTAAAAATTGAATGGTAGGTGTATTGTAAAACTGAGAGACAGAATAGCAACAACAAATTCAAAAGAAATGCATGTCTAACAAATTATGCACTGATTTGCATGTCCATGAGGGAAATAAGTATTTTATCCCCTTCACAAAACATGACTTAGTACTGGCTAGGCTACTCTAGGACCTTAATGTGCTTCTTCTTGAGCCACTCCTTTGTTGCCTTGGCCGTGTGTTTTGGGTCATTGTCATGCTGGAACACCCATTCACGACCCATTTTCAATGCCCTGGCTGAGGGAAGAAGGTTCTCACCCAAGATTTGATGGTACATTGCCCCGTCCATCGTCCCTTTGATGCGGTGTAGTTGTCCTCTCCCCTTAGCAGAAAAACACCCCCAAAGCAGAATGTTTCCATCACCATGTTTGACAGTTGGGATGGTGTTCTTGGGGTCATAGGCAGCATTCCTCCTTCTCCAAACACGGCGTGTTGAATTGATGCCAAAGAGCTTGATTTTGGTCTCATCTGACCACAACACTTTCAACCAGTCCTCCTCTGCATCATTCAGATGTTCAGTGGCAAACTTCAGACGGGCCTGGACATGTGCTTTCTTGAGCAGAGGGACCTTGCAGGCACTGCAGGATTTCAATCCTTGTCACGTAGTGTGTTACCAATTGTTTTCTTGGTGACTGTGGCCTGGACATGTGCTTTCTTGAGCAGAGGGACCTCGCAGGCACTGCAGGATTTCAATCCTTGTCAGCGTAGTGTGTTACCAATTGTTTTCTTGGTGACTGTGGTCCCAGCTGCCTGGAGATCATTGACAAGATCCTCATGTGTAGTTCTGGGATGATTCCTCGCTGTTCTCATGATCATTGACACTTCACAAGGTGAGATCTTGCATGGTGCACCAGACCTAGGGAGACTAACAGTTGTTTTGTGTTTCTTCCATTTGCAAATGATTGTACCAACTGTCGTCACCTTCTCACCAAGCTGCTTGGCGATAGTTTGGTAGCCCAGTCCAGCCTTATGTAGGTCTACAATCTTGTCCCTGAGATCCTTGGACAGCTCTTTGGTCTTTGCCATGGTGGAGAGTTTGGAATCTGACTGTTTGAATGCTGATGTGGACAGGTGTCATTTATACAGCTAACAAAATGAGATTAGCAGCACTCCCTTTAAGAGACTGCTTCTAATCTCAGCTTGTTACCTGTATGTAAGACACCTGGTAGCCAGAAATCCTGCTGAATGATAGGGGATCAAATACTTATTTCCCTCATGAACATGCAAATTAGTGCATCATTTGTTAGACATGCATTTCTTTTGAATTTTTTGCTGCTATTCTGTCTTTCAGTATTACAATACACCTACCATTCGATTTTTAGACTGATCATTTCTTTGTGAGTGGGAAAACATTCAAAATCAGCAGGGGATCAAATACTTATTTCCTTCACTGTACGGAAACGTTGCTAAAAAGCTGATCACATGCCAAATAATCTGAGTGCTTTATAAAGCAATGCAGACAGCTTCCAGGGAGCTCCTCACATGTGCAGTGGGTGTTGGTGTAGCCTGGCCTGTATAAGGCTCCATGCACACTGAGTTTTTTTAAGCTCCTAGAAGCTATCAGCTTTTTCCTGTTCCTAGAAGTAAATTAGTGTTATGCTATGTGTCCATGCACACTATTTTTAGCTTCGGCATTTAGTAGCAGAAATAATATAGTTTTTTTGAGTTTTTGGGAGCGAAAAGGACAGTAACCAAATTGTGGGTACACAAAGGCACCCAATAGATACATACATATAAAAAGGAACCTTTTATTGACACATCAGCCTAAAAAGTCATATTTACTAAAAACAGTTAAACAAAAATCTGACTGTACTATACCATGAAAAATATTAGTTTGGTGCTCAAATATACATCAACATCTTGTTTTCTATACAAAGTTTACATTAATGAACAGTTAAAAACCACCAGATAGGTGGAAACGTCTCTCCACTGTATTCCACCAAGTTGATGGAACTTCTCAACATGTTTCATGAACCAAAGTCCATTTCTTCAGGAGAACATGAAAGAGGTGAGAAATCTACAATCGTATGAACAACATCATAAGTAGTACATAAAATATCTTACATGCGTATTACAAAAAAAATCCTCCCCATGGTTCCCGAGTTCATCTTTGGATACCTTGTTTTTAATAAATGGCTGGCTGTTTGTAAGTGCCAGTCCTTTTTTTTTTATACATATGATATATCCTCTACGACTGTCAAAACTTAGCAAAATGGCTTTGTTATCTATATAAAAGTGATTTGTCTGCTTGTGGCAATGCATATTGGGGATTTCAGGGAAATCTTGCTTGAGGTGAACTTACACTTTAAACTGGTAACATTATCTGTAAGATAAAGTAGGAGTCTGACTTCATACAATTTGAATACTGCAGGTTAAAGCAAACCTAGATTTTGCTCATGCAGGGCTAAGAAACAGGCTAACCCTAAAGTCTCACCCCTAGCAACACATACCAGGGGGCAGGTGTGTATTTACCACAAGGCAAACAAGGCATTTGCCCAGGGCGGTATTTTTTAGGGGGGGCAGCACTGCCCCCTGGAAGAAGGGACATAAGTGGCATGGAGATCTGAGAGAGGCTGTGGGCTGCTTAGTGGTGTATTCAGAGCCCAGCTGTTGTTCCTGGGGATGGCCAGAGTTGCTGATGGGGGGGGTTGTTAGTGGAAGGCTCTCTCGGGGGGCGTCCTACGGCAGCACAAAACCTAAATACACCACTGCAAGCGGGTGCATTGTTTCCAATGAGTCAGCTGACCCATAGATGCGCATTGTGAGAAGGAGCAGTAAAGTAGTGCTGCAAAGAAAACAGGGTCTTCATGTTGTTTAAACAAAATATGGCTGCCAGCATGTACATACAGTATGTAATTACAGATAAACAACTCAAGAAGCCCTGTCACCAAATTTATAAATTGCAAATAAAAGCACAGAAAAAAAAATTGAGTGTTTTCCATACTATATATGCTGTGGCTGCCAGGGAAGGAGTGAAGGGGAATACTATAGTGTGTCACTGGAGTGGGCTGAGACTGCTGACATCACATCCAAGAGGGCGGCACCCAGCCACATTCATGGGGCTTTTGGATGTCTGCACAAAAGAAGCTTTTACAGGTAAATAATGTGCAGAATTTGTTAAATGTACATAAAGTAATATTATGGGAAGATTTGGTTTAAAGCATAAGGTCGCCTTTTTTTTACCAAAAAAAAAGAAATAATAAATGCACATCTTTTTGCAGGTAAAAAAAAAGTGTAGATTATGCAAATGTGCAAAATCCACAGATTGTGGATGAAATGCCAGAATCTGGCAGACTCTCAGTACTGTCTGCCCATACCTCCCATATGGGCAGGTAGTTACTGAATGGCAGGAAGAATCAATTAACTACTAGAACACTAACCAGCACCTTCGAAGTACTATTGGCCAACAGTAATTGTAGTTTATTCATTTCATTTATTCATTCAAAGAACACTGTGAATGAATGATGTGGCCAGGTGGACTGAGCTCAGCATGGCCACATTTGTTTTAAATTGTGACAGCGGGGGCGGGGGAGAGGATACCCCATCCGCTATCACATGGGGGGGGGCGGTTTGGGGGGAGAGAAGATGGAACATGTTACACGTTCCACCCTAAATACATGTGGAGCATGTAACATGTTTTAAAGGTGAGCTTATTCTTTAAATGAATTATCTGGTGAAAAAGGGCCTCTTTAACCGCTTCCCGACCGCCCTATAGCAGATATACTGCTACAGGACGGCACAGGTGCGCAAAATCAAGTATATATACGTGATTTTTAATTTCCCGGTAGGAGGCACACATGGGGAGCACGTGCGCCATACCCGCACTGCCATTCACGGTCGCTTCTGTTAATCACCAGGTCCCAGCTGGTGATGACTTGCCAGCACCCGGTGATTGCTGAGCATCTCCAATGGGGAGGAGAACTGTTTGTAAACAAAACAGCTTTCCTCCCTGCAAGCTCATGCACACTGCTGTGGAAGGCTGTGCACAGCACAGCCATGCAAAGCAGTGAGCTTACAGTGAAACACACAGATACAGCCCAATGTAAAACAGCATACAGCACACAGTTAACCCTTTGATCACCCCTCATGTTAACCCTTTTCTTGCCCAGTGCCATTAGTACAGTGTCAGTGCTTTTTTTTTTTAGCACGGATCACTGTATTGGTGTCACTGGGGATGTCAGTGACACCAAGTCAGTTCCCCAAAGTGTCAGAATGCCTGCCGCAGTCCCACAGTCCCGCTATAAGTCACTGATTGCAGCCATTACTAGTATAAAAAAAAATTGCAATATCTATACCGCCATTTGTAAACACTATAACTTTCACGTAAACCAATTCATTTACACGTATTGAGATTTTGTTTAGCAAAGACATGTAGCAGAATACATTTTGACCTAAATTTACAACAAAATTTGATTTTTAAAATTTTTTTTACTGAACGTGTTTAATAGCAAAAAGTAAAAAATATTATTTTTTTCTCAAAATTGTTGGTCTTTTTTTTTTTTCAAAGTGCAAGTA